TAGGGGTAGTGTGGAAATGAGAGGGAAAAGTTGTGTGAGCAGGACACAGCTCAGAAGAAATCAGATATGACAGGATGCCATAATGGGGGCCTGAAGCCAGAGGAAATAGTATGACATTCAACGTGTTTGTGTGGAGGCGGGGGCGGGGGGGGGGGGTGTTCTCACAGGGGAGGACAGGACCAGACAAACTTGTAAGTTTATTTCCCAGGCCAGAAATTCTGCATCCTCAGACTAGCATTGGCTAGAGTTTTTAATTTGTAGGATGCAAATGTTAGCCCTGGCCTATGTGCCTGAAAAAGGACTATTTTACTTTAAAGGTAGTGAGGAAAAGATCTTAAGAATAAAACAGAAACCTCAAAGAGCTGAACTTTATATATAAAAACAGAAGCCTGTTTTTCTGCAAGTGGAACAGATCATCTGTGTGAGGATGTAGGGCCTCTTCTCTTCACTCTCAAGCCCAAGTGCTGAGAAACCAACACCGAGAATCCGGAAGCCGGGTTTGGGTCCTTAGAGGACCCTGGTGATGTTCAGCTGTGTATTCCGTTCTAGGTGTGGAGACCTGGTAAGAATTGTAAGCCCTCCTTTCTCCCAGTTTTCCTGCTGCAAAACGGAAAAAGAATAAATAAAAAATAAGGGCCAGAGAGGCGTTTCACTTGGAGAAATTTGTGTCCCAGGAAGATGCAAATAATTTATCAAGTGGAGCAGATGTGGTCAGAGAAAAAGACTGGCCACCGAAAATCCATCGGAAGAGCCTGGTCCTTGTTGATGGTTGACCTGGAAGACATCCTGAGATTCCTACACCCTTTAAAAGTGACCCAGCATCACCTGCAGCGTCAATCTCACCATGGTAAATATTTAACACATATATAGAGAGAGTATAGAACATTGCATTAAAAATAACATTTATTGAACTTACTTTTAATATAGAGAAGTAATAGGAGGTAAACAAACAAAAGCGAAGGTTATAATCTTACTTTTGGTAAAATAGATCAATAAACAAACCTATCCGTGGTCACAAAATACAAATATGCAGAGGGACAGAATCCATGATTTATTTATCCAGTTCCTGATTGAGGGGTACATTCGATTGGTTTTGTTTTCTTCTTCTTTTTTTTTTTTTTTTTTTTTGGTATTGCTGATTTTGCCACTGAGAAGATCTTTGCATGAACACCTTTGCATGAACGAGTTAAAGGGATATGCATAAAAATCATGCCAGGTGATAGGCAGCTTTCCTTGAGCAACCACTATGGGATGCAAAGAGTTCTATATATTCTTGTTATCCCTCACCGCAGCCTTGCAAGCCCATTAATGTGACCAGTGGTTCCAGGTGGGGTGAACTGGAAGTCAGGTGGGAGAAGGCTCCCTCCGTGGTAGCAGAGCTGTGAGTGGCAGAACTGGAATTGAGTTCCAAGTCTTTCTGATTCGAAACTAACGCAGTCATCTAAAGGTTACAAATCACACTGAAGAGAAGATCATCAAACCAGAAGGGCCTTGGCCGGCTCCTAGGCCAAGTCTTTTCATTTCAGATGTGGCAGAGACACCTCGAATGTTTTGCCCAAAGACCGTGGAGCTGGGTTGGGACCGAAGTCCTTTCTCCCAGGACAGTGATCTTTTAAGCACATTAGTGGGTGTGCATGTCTGGGGCCAGAGAGGTCCTTCTCCCAAAGAACAGCTTGTATGAAACATATAAACCCAGAGCTGCTCTCCTTGAATCAAGGGAGGAGGCCCAGAGCCTGGTTGTCCCCCATTCTCCACATATTCTCTCTTGGCACCTTTGGGGAGCAATTCAAAAACCACGAGTGTGGAAGCCACGTATGTGGCCTTAATCATGCTTGGTGTCCTGGACAACCCCCGAAGCTCTGGCCTCTCCCTCCAAATGCCTGGGGCCTTATAGGCCACTGTTCACGCTCTGGGGTCCCTTGCCCTCGTCCCCCTGCTGAGGGGAGGCCTCAGTGATGGGTTGCGAGTGCATCTTGCTCATTGGCTGTGCTATGACAGCAGTTTGTACTGCGGACCCCGAGGTTATAAAAAGTCCCCTATTATCAATCCTAGAAGAAAAAAAGGAAATGTAGAAGGAAGAATGAATATCTTTTAAACATTTTTAAAATGTGAAACTTTCCTCTCCTGCCTGGGGTAGCATTGGCAAGGTAAACTGACAAGTGTGATAAGCATTCTTGGGCCGGATGCACCACAAGAAGATGGGTAAAAACACCAGGAGCCGCGCAGCTATAAAGGAAGCCAAACAGGAAATTTGATGTGAATCATCAGAAAACAGACTGTACGAGAGGGGCCACGGGGCTTAGTCGGAGATAAAGCGTGCATTGTGATGTTTAGGGGTGGTGAACGGGGGGAATCACATTAGCCAAATGGAAGAGAGAGGTGCAGAGCGTCGGGCTTACGTAAAGCTGATGCTAACGGATTCTGCTGTTGCAGAGAGGACGGTTTAGGAAATTGGAAATGAACTCCAGTTCTAGGCACTATGAAGAGAGGCCATATTGATTTCACCAGCGATGCCAGGTGTTCTGTTTCTGAGGCACTATAAACAGCTTTGGCGGACCGTGTGGCCTCAGCGCCTCTTGTGCCCACTCATCCACCCATTTCTGTGTCACCTGCCACCGTGGGGGGCCGGGAGGCGGTCAGCATTGTCATACTTGCTGGCAGGCACGGAACAATTGGCGTTACACACAGACAAACAGGGTTCCATTCAGTAAGACCTCTATCCGAAGGGGAGTGAGGCTACCTGCTCTCTCGACCCTTTTGAGGGAGGTCCCAGGAGTTGTTGCTCCAGGCAAGGTTCTTCTAGTCCCTAGTCTTCTCCTCTAACCTGTCTCTCCCACATATGCAGGAAGTCAGAGGGAGAGGCGAGAGCAGGTCATCAAGAACTGTGATGCTGACTGAAAGCTGGATGGCCCCAAGCACTGAAAGAGCCCGGGCTCCTTTTCCCCAGAAGGGAACTTGGAGGCCACACTGCCTCCCACTCTCACCAGCACCCGCTCGGAGCCTCAGAACTCACAACATTTGCAGGTCCATCAATACGACACCAATAGGAGGAAGTGAAGGTGGCTTTGAAGATGCTCAAGTCATATCCCATGAGGACGTGACCAGGCTGGAATGGAAGTTAGCAGAAAGTGTGGTAGAAGGAGTCTGGACTTGGACTCTGGGGCAGTGGCTTCAAGGGCCCCTCTGGCCCCTGGGCTCATGGGCTTAATATTTTGTCTCCTTCCTTTCCCCTTAGATACAGAAGCTGGACTAGAGGATCTCTGAGGCCAGTCCCATCAGCACCTGTGGTAGGGGGATATCTCCTGACTGCCTGCCCCCTCCATTGTTCCCCTCTCCAAGCCATCTCATGTAGTAATGAATCTAGCATGTACTGAGTATCTGTTATGGCACTATTCACAGTGCTTTATGGGTATGAACTCAATCTTCATACAATCCTATGGGGTAAATGCTACTACTTTTATCCTACAGATGACAGAACTGAGAGAAATTAGCTCTGCGTCACATAGCTATGAGGTGCCGAAGCCAGGACAGAGCATCATACTGTCTCCCAAGTGTATGGTCATTCCAAAGTGGGCAAAGGACTTAAATAGACATTTCTCCGAAGAAAATACAAATGACCAATAAGCACAATAAAGATGTGCAATGTAACTAATCATTAGAGAAATGCAAATCAAAATCATAATGAGATACACTTTACCCATTCGAATGGCTAATACACACACACACACACACACACACACACACACACACATCCAGAAAATTACAAGTGTTGACTGAAGATGTGGAGAAATTGGTATCCTGTGCTTTGCTTGTGGGAATGGAAAATGGCACAGCTGCTGTGGGAGACGGTTTGTTCTTCAAAAACTTAAATATAGAATTACCATATTGATCCAGTAATTCCATTCCTAGGTACATATCCCAAGGATCCCAAACAGATACTTGTATGCCGATGTTCACAGCAGCTGTATCCACAACAGCCAAAAAGTGGACACAACCCAAATGTCCATCTACAGATGAATGAATAAACAAAATGTAGTCTATACACAATTGAATATTATTCAGACTTAAAAAGGAAGTTCTGGCACCTGCTCCAACATGGATGGTCCTTGAAGACATTATGCTAAATAAACCAGTCACAAAAGGACAAATATTTCATGTTTTCACCTACGTGAGGTACATAAAGTAGGCAAATTCATAGATACATAAAATAAAATAAAAGCTACCTGGGGCTGGGGGAAGAGGGCAATGGGTCGTTGTTTAAGGGGTGCAGAGTTGCTGTTTGAGATGAAAAGGTTCTACAGATGGATCGGAGCGATGGTCGCACAACAATGTGGATATACTTAATGTCACTGAATGACACACTTAAAAATGATGAAAATGACCAATATTATGTATATTTTGCCGTAACAGAAAAGTGTGCAGATTGCTCCCCAGAAGCACAGGCATCATGCCCCCCCTCCTTTAGCACTGTTGGTGGCTGCCTACTTCCCCTCCAACTCAGCGAGGGCACATCACATCGGCTGCAGGCAGGGAGTCCCCTCACAAAAGCCAGGCTCCCGGATGCTTCCCTACGCCATGGGCTCTTAGCCCCTTTTCACCACCCTCGCTCAAGAAGAGGGTGCAAGAAGCCTTTGCCTGTCTCCACGGGTTCTCTGGGCTCTTTTAGGAATTGCCCGAAGAGTTGGAGTCTGTGCTATGATTGTAGAGCTGAATTATACATTGTCTTGTACCAGTGTCCTCATGTGTAATGACTCTGCATCACCATCTAGATTCTACTTCAGATCCAGAGCAAAGGAAAGAGGTGGAAATGCAGCAAATGATAAATAAATGCTTCGTGACTTGCCTTGAAACGAAAGCACTGCTGACTTATACATCAACTTTGGCCTCTATCTCACTTTTGCGACTGGTCTGTGTGGAGGGCATTGCATTTTCCCAAGTTAGGACTACAGAAGGGACAGATGAAGGTAATTAGGAGACTTAGGAAAAGAATACCAGGAGCTCTGGGTCATTAGTAATGGTCTTCGATTTGGATACTGCTCTTTGAGTAGTAAAAGCTTCAGAAATCTCCACATCAGGTGAGGCTGTAATTGCTTACAGTGTTATTAGCTCTTGTCTTGTCAGTTTCTTTCTTAGCTGTTTTATATTCTGGCCACAGAACCACCTGGGAGGGATGCAAACCCAGTGGCGTCTGTGGTAGTGGCTATCTGCAGGTAGGGCTGGTATTTAAACCTTGGCTTTTATTCAAGTCGTTCTTATTGTACCTTCCTCAAATTGCTTGTTGGGTCACCTGGAAAGAAGCAGTGCTGCTGGGCAGTCGAGGAGGGGAAGGCATAGCGATAGGGGAAGTGTTTAAAGGTTACAAATTATGCAGCCCTTCGAAAAATTCTAATTAATTTGAAGCACCTTTGAGGATATGCTTCCCCCCCCCCCCTTTTATGCTTCTGTCTGTAAGGAAAGGCAAACGTACTTGCAGGTGGGTGCATCCTGACGCACCTGGGCCGGGGTGTGACCCAGCAGATTTTCCTGCAGCGGGAACCGGTCGGTTACTCCCTCTACGGGGAAGACCGGGAAGTCGGGGCCGCACTGGGAGGAGAGGTTGGATTGTAATGAACAGCGACCTCTAGCGCATAGCTCGGGATTTGCACTGGGTTAAAAGGACAGAAAGAAAATAGCAGCAGGGATGGGAATTCTTAAGAAATTCCCCTGCAAACAAAGGCAAGATAGACATTTCCTCATTGTTTTCCCTGGTAGAGAAGATTGGGACTGACGGCTGAAGATTTCGTTCATTTGTGCCGCGTGCTACCGTTAGTGCTGGGGATGCTACTCAAATGTTGCTGGGTATTTTTTAACCCCCCTCCAGATTTCCTCCACAGAGATCACTGGGATTTTTTTTTTCTTTTGAAGGTTTCTCGGTTGCCTTTAGAGCTTAAACCAGAGAGTTCACCCAGGATAGCATCAGCTTCTCTGACCGTGGGTGTATGCGCGTGCTGGAGAGAGCGCTGAGGCCAAGAGGAGCAGACAGGAGAGGTCAGAGGCGGTGTCCCCCGGGAGCCATGGGCAAGGCTCAGGGCTCCTGCTCACTCACTCTCTCAGGGACTGCGAGGGTCAGAGGTGCGGGGCTCTCCAGCTCTATTTAAGGTGGTAGGCGACTGAAGCCTTCCTTCCCTCCACCCTGGTGCTTCCACTCGCACAGATCAACCCAGCCTGGAAGGTTCTTGCCCTGCCTCTGTTCTTCCCTTGTATTCTGTCCCTCCCACTCTTCTGAAGCCAAGTTCTGAGTCTCAAGGGCCAAGTTTACGTCAAGCTAGTTCACAGGCTGATGGTGTTCATTCCCCCTGAATAACGGGGCCAGAGGGAGACCTCCCAGGTCTTTAGGAGCCAGGAGCAGATTCTTTGGAGAAAGGCTAAAATCACAGTTCCTGGCCCATGACTTTGCTGTTTTATCATGGGAGTAGGGGGGTGGGGGTTGGAGAGGGAATACATTTTCCTGTAACTCCAACCCATGGAAAGTCGATAGATTCAAGTACATTTTTGCTGTAACAACTGGGTTTGCCTTGCTGCTGCCTTTTGACAAAGCTTCAGAGTAGAAATGCTGCATCTTTATTTATTTATGGGTTATTTTTCTTGCTGTGGTTTTTCAGCTGTGAGCACATCACCGTGCTTGGGCTTTCCATGTTTCATCAGCTATGCCTCCTCCTCTTCCTCCTCTTCCTCCTCCTCCTCCTCCTCCCAGCATTATTAGATCAAGGATCTAAGTAGTTGCTTCAGGAAGGAGTCATCCTCATGGTTGACAAATTGAAGCCGTAGACTTACACTGTACTTGGTTACATGCGCCCCTGATGTCACATTTATGTGCCAGGGGTGGGGACTGACTGGTGAGGACAGGCACACAAACACAGTGACAAGATGAAGGGAGTGTGGAAATTACCAGGTGAAGGGCATGTGGAAATTTCATGACCGGATAGAGTCGGGGAGGCCTGTGACTGGTACTGGATCAATCAGCAAGCTTGCCCAGATGGCATGGCTGAGCCTGTGGCCCAGCTTGGGAACAGGTTTGGGGCAAGGAGAGGGACAAGTGAAGAGGCTAAGATAGGCAGAGTTCCCTGGTTTCCAACAGAAATGTTCAATACCTCGGGCTCTGTCTTTGGTGATGTGGACTGCTGTTAGAATCCCAACCCAAGAAGGAAGAAAAGTAAAATAAAAATGATGGTTCAATAAAAGCAATACCAATAGAAGAAGGTAATTCTGGCTGAGGTGGTGAGCCTCAGGGGAGGAGGGGAAGTGGGGAGGTAGATTTAGAGGGAAGAAGTCTGAGGAGGAAGAAGATTTCCATGGGAAGGGGTTGGTGTCTGTTCTCAGGCTGTGACAGTGCAAAGAGAAAGATAGGCAGGAAGGCTAAATATTGAGGAGAGAAGGATTTATTAAACTGGAGTAAGATAGACTAAAAGTTCATTGAAGATTTCTCAGAAGTTCTCTGTCAGGGAGTTGGCAAAATGGTGGCATTGACCAACTGGGCCCTCAGGAAGAGCCAGCTTTTTCTGGAGGTAGATGGTGAACCAGGTGAGGATTATACCTTGGAAACAGAGGCCCTGGGGGAGAAAGACAGCTCACTCTTGATTCTTGCTGTTCCCCATCTATAGCACCTCTGCCTCCACTGGCACCATTTCCACTCATCTGGCGTGCACATTCACCTGGCCCATGCCAGTGGCTGTCTGTCCTTCCTCAAATCTCCACACTGTCTCTCCTTCCTCATCTTATGCTCTTACCTCTTACCTACCAGAGCAAGCTGAGACACCCAGAAGGAAGCTACCATGCTTGCCCCCAGCTGGGTTCTTCAGGCACTTTCCCAGATATTTACATGGCCTGCTTCTTTACTTCATTCAGCATTCTGCTCAAATGTCAGCTCCATGGCAAGGACTTTCCTAGTCATCCTCTCTAAGATAACACCCCAGCCTTCCTCTGTCTCCTTACCCCACTTTATCTTTTCTTTATGACACTTTGTTGCCACCTGGTGTATATTTATCTGTGCTTTGTCCTCTTCCCCACTGGACTGTGACTCTTCAGGGACTCTATTATATTTAACACGGAACCTCCAGCACATCCAACAGTGCTGGGCACATAGAAGATGTTCAATAGACATTCATTCAGCAAGTGACTTATAGAGTCTCTATAGCCAACATTGTTGGCATCTGTTTCCTTCTGGAAATGCTCTCCTCTTTACAACATTAGTTCTTGTCTCTTACTCTTTGACTGCAATTTTTTTTTGTTTTCTGTTTTCCTGTTTTTCAAGGTTCAGATTCTTCACCTGTGCTTTTCTCTTTCTCCACTTTATTCACTGGGGACCACATGTACTCTCAGAGCTTTATCTCTCACGTCTATGCCCCTGTCTTAGCATCTCATCAGAGGTCAGGCCTATATTTCCAGCTGCCTTGTAGCCATTTCCACTTAGAAATCTCATTGTCACCTAAAGCCCCCAAATCCCGTCAGACTCACCTTCCCCTCCCAATGTCACTACTTTCCTTCCTCCCAGCTAAGCCTGACACCTTTCAATTTCTTTGTACTCCTATCTTTAAAATTTTTTCCCAAACCACACCAAGTCCTACAGTTCTTCTTTCAGAATTCATTAACCAAGGAAATATTTATTGCCTATGATATGTAAAACACTGTGTAAATGCTTTGGAGTTGGTGCTATATAGATTTATTCTTTACCCTCAGAGACTTTGTCACCAAAGCTTAGAGGTAAAACATGTTCAGGAATAGTTTTAAGGAGGAAAATAATGAGTTGCAGGTTCGGGTTATGAGGATGTAGAAGAGGGGAAAATGACTTCCACTTGAGTTCAGGAAGACTTCTAGAAAGAGGGACATTTGAGGTGGGCCGTGAAAATTAGGTCATGCTTGGACATGCTAACCCTGGGATTGGCCTTTCAGCCAACGGGAACAGCATGAACAGAATACCAGAAGCAAGACAGCCATAAATGAGGAGGGAGGATGATCGCTGAGCTGGGCTGGAGCCTGGGGTGGGGGAGTGGGGGGAGTGGGAAGGAAGGTAAAGACAGGCCGGGAACTTATTTCTGTTGGAAGGCATGGAAAAAAGATTCAAAAATACGGTGCAGGTGAATAATGCATTGGAGCTGTGTTTCAGGAAAGTTAATCTAGTTACAGCTTCAAAAATGGATTGGAGATGAGAAATGCAAGATAGGGCAGCATTATCTAGGCTAGAGGCCACAGCAACCTGAATATGGTGCTAGGAGTAGACGCAGATGTGGAAATGCAGCCACTGGGGGATGGCAGAGACCCTGCGGAGGTAGAGTGAACAGAACTTCACTTCCTATCGAACATGGAGAACAAGCAAGAGGAAACAATAGCAAAAATGGTGCTGAGACATTGATCCCAAGTGTCTGAGTCCCAAATCAGAAATAGGGAAGAGGAGAGAATCACATTGTGAAGAGGAAACTTATGAGTTGAGTTACAGTCACAGTGAGCGTGACTTATTGGGACATCCAAGTGGAGCTTTCCAACAGGTAGTTAATCCTGTAAACCTGAAACTCGGGACAACGGTCAGACCTAGAAGTAGCAATATGGAGGCCATTACTAAGGTAAGAGTTTAGGTCCAGAGATTGATCACAATTGCCAAGGTATTGTGAAAAAGAGAAGACAAGATGGATAAAGATGGTTCCTTGTGAAACACCTACATTGATGAGACAGGAAGAGGAAGGATCCAGAGAAGGTGCATAAAGAGAGGCGAGAGGAGAGAAAGTGTCAGAGAAGATGAGGGTGGCAGTTTCAGGAAGGAGTCATGGACTCTAACTACTAAAATATGGGAAAGGTGAAGGTTGACAAGAAGCTCTTGAGTTTATATAACCTCATGTCCTTCCTTCATCTCACTCTCACCCATGCTCCCTTGGCAGAGACCCTCACCTTCCACATGTGGGAGTCTTCCTTCAAAGGTCTCATCCCTGCTCCCATAGTCCATGAGCTAGATAATCTCTCTGACACCATTTTCATGATATCATTTCTGTATTCTGTACAGCGGCAGAGAGATGTAGTGGGAACAAAGTTAGACAAGGAGTCAAGAAATCTGGTTGTCTGGTTCTAGCCATGGGCGCTTGGGCAAGGTACTTGAATTTGTCAACCTGTAAGTCTTTCTTTCTAAATTTTAGGATTTCTTTCTAAGCATCAAAGCCTAAACAATCCTCCCAGGGCTTATTGGGGTCTCCCCAAATTCTGTCTCCATCTGCCTCTCCAACCTTACTTTCCAGGTCCTCTAAAAGCACCCTCCTCTGGTCAGACTGGTCTCTTCCTATGTCCTATAACCAGACTGCACAGATTCCTACGTCTATGCTCTCTTCTACTTGGACTTTCTTGCCTGGATGCCTTCTGATCTCCCCCATGCATGTGCTAATCCTAAAATCCTCCCTGGACCAGCTCAACACTCACTTCTTCCATGAAATGTGTCCTGAGTCCTCCTGTTCTGATATTTCTTTCTGCTGACCTCCTGCGCATCTATACAGAGCATCTAAATCCTAATTTTATTATTTTAAAAAAATTGCCACTGTTTTAGGCACTGTTAGTTTTGGTTTTCTCAGGAGTTGTAAGCTCTTTGGAGAGGGGGATGGCATGGGGAATGAACCACATCTTTGTGTCCTTTGTATTTCTCACAGTATATTGCTCAGCATGTACTGAACGCCTAGTGTGTTCTTTATGTACATGTGTCAATCAGGGTTCCTTCGAGAAATGTTAACACACACAGACTTATTTTAAGGATTGTCAGATATGACTGTGGGTTTCTGGAAAGTTCTAAATCTATGGGGCGGGCAGAAGGCTAGAAACTTGGGCAGAAGTTGATGTTACAATTTTGAGGCAGTATTTCTTCTTCAAGAAACCAGTTTTTGCTCTTTAAGGCCATCACCTGCTTTGATGAGGCCCACCCACAACATTAAGGGTCATCTCCTTTACTTAAAGTCACCTATTGTAGATGTTAACCACATCTACCAAATGCCTTCACAGAAACATCAGGATTAGAGTTAGATTAAATAACTGGGTACTATAGTCTGCCCCAAATGACACAAATCAACCATCACAGAGCACTTGCTTATGGAATCATATCAAGGGGTAATTCTTTGTACAGGATTCAACATGGTGGAATCTTCAGAATAAGAATGAAGAAAGATCACTGAGAGACGCTGATAAGAGGCAGTGAACATTTAGAGAGTGGAAGCCATGTGGTGCTCCTGGATGAGCTGGTTAGCAAGAGGCTTATAAATCAGCAGGCATCTGAAGATTCTGGATGTCTGAGGATTAAAAGGAAGAGAGGGGGACACTACTCTTAGAAGGTACTAGAAATAAGTCCATTCAGAAAAAGAGTGGTGTGGAGTTGGGATGAGATAAGGAGAGAAAGAAGCAGGGAAAGAAAGGAAGGAGATGGGGTGGGGGTGGGAGGGAAGAGAGAGAGAGAGAGAGAGAGAGAAGACCAAAACCTAGAATTTTAAAATCCCAAGTCTTTGTTTGTTGTTTATGGTTAACATGAAACCTAGGTGAATTTAATTGGTTTTAAAATTAGGAAGAAATTTTGCTTTCTTCTCAGGGAATAGACAGAGACTAATGAGAGACTGGAAATATGGGAATGAAGTCAATAGGAACCTATGAAAGGCAAAGCAGATGCCTCAAGTGAGGAGAGAGTTCTTGACAGATTTTCAGATGACATAAAGCCAATTTTTATCTGGAAAGGTTTATTTCAAGTAAATTTGTATAGATAAAACCTTGAGGGAGTAAAAAGCAAGCCCCCAAAACAACCCAAACAAGTGGAAAATCCAAACAAAACTGCTTACAGCAGAAATTCAGATATTTGCTGCAAAACAATTAGTAATAGCATTGCCGAGGCATTCTCGAAATAGATGAGCTTCACCATTAGCCTTCTGTGAATTCAAGCAAAGAGGCATCATTATACAAATTATATGCCTGGAGAAGGGGCTTCTGCATTGGGATGAACTTGTAAAAAGAACATTTAAACCAAAGGCAATTTTGCCTATCTGTAATTTGCTCTATTCCCCTTGCTATCATTGAAGATATTTATGCTTGAGCAAATTTCTCACTCTCACTCTGATTTCTCCTCTTTCTTAATCCAGCCATGAAGTCATAAAATCCCCTGTTTGGGACAATATGATTTGCTGCCATGGAAACAATTACGATGTCATAAATTCATCTTGCCCCATGAGATGAAAGAGGAAAAGCAATAATACTAATATTTTGCAGTTCAATAGTGCCATTCATCCAGCAGTCACTAACTAGTAAATATCATCAATTTGCAGGTGGAGAAAACTGGAGCAGCAAGCTCTCATGCCTCGTCTCAAGCTCTGGAATTGTGGACCGTGGCAAGAACGTCCAGGTATTTGTAATTCCCACCCAGAGTAGAAGCTAAAGGAGCCAAACTCTTGGTCTCCATTATTCTTTTCGGATGGGGATGGAGAGTCGGCTCCTCTCCCAGTACTTATACTTCACCAACTGTTCCTAATTATGAGAGTATTTGATGGAACCTAGTTTGATAAACAAATGAAAAGCCCTTGGTAATTGTCACTGAAAACATTTGCATCCATAGGAATAGAGAAGAAGTTTTGGAAAGTGCACGAAAACTTCAGCACTCATTCCAGCTCCACCTTGGCCTGACATCTCCTCCTCCATGCCACCTGGATGCTCATGGTCTTGGCTCCCAGCCATCATTGAATTTACCCAGAAGCTAATGACATGTAAACTCTTGGGCCCCTTCCCAGGGCTCTGGGAGGTGCCCTAGCAATGTGTTCACTCAGACAGACTTTTAAGAACATCTATACTCTGACTTCCTCTTGTGTTGGGTGGTGTTGGGATTCTGGTAAGGGGAAGGGAGTTAGGAAATGCCTTTGGATTAAGAGCTTTGTAGTCATTTCTGTTTATAGTGGAATTATTACTAGCCTTTTCTGACTGCCAGTGGCTTCCAGAAGTACTCTTACTGCCTACTTGCCCTGATCCCCATGCATGGCGAGAGGTAGTAATAGGTCTTAAGAACCCATTACTGGAACTGGGCATTGTTGGCCTTTTTTCTTTATGGAGAGACATGTAAGATGCTATAGTTTATCCTTAATTTTGAAATCGGTGCCCTGGCATTCCTCAGATCACTGGATACCTATTTTTTTTTTTTTTAATGTGATAGGTTTCTGAACCTTCACAGGGTTTACTGCCTGACCTCCTGAGTGCATGTGGCTTAGTTAGGTTTGCAATGTACTAGCCACTTCTTGCTCATCCAATCCAATTCGCATAATGTCATTAGTATAATGGACCAGTGTGATATTCTATGGGATGTTTAGCCAGTCAAAGTTTTTATTTTGGGCTATATTATGACAGAAGGTAAGAGAGTTTACATTGCTCTCAAATCTGACCATACATATACAGTGTTATGTGTTTCCGATCCTCTTTTTTGATAGGGATGGAAAATACTACATTTGCCAAATCGGTGGCTGCATTCCATACACCCAAGGCTATGATCATCTGTTCTAGCAAATATGCCACATCTGGTAGAGCAGCTGCACTTGGGCTTGATTGAATGGCAATCATCTACTGTCATCCTTCAGGATCTGTCTGGTTTTTGCAGGGGCCAGACTGGTGAATTAAATGGAGGTAAGATGGGATTCACGAGTCCTATATCCTTTAAGCGTTTTTCTGCCATTACCCCAGAAAGCTATAATGTTTTGATTTACCATTTTGAACTGGGTTTGGGAGGAGCATAGTTTCAGAGGTTTCTGCTTGGCTTCCCCACAGACCAATGTGGGTATATGTGCATCCAATTTTTCATCTGGGGACTGTGGAAATGACAATGGGTCCTTGGATTCACTGGGCCCAGTGTAAGCCAGACATGGGCCACACTACCCTCATTTATTACCTGGAACCCGTATGTCCTTAAGAAAAGGAGGGCCATATCGATACTTTGAGTCTCCAGTTACAAATGTCTAGTCAGATCTTATATTCGCTAGACCTCAAAATGTTTGGACTTCCCCCTTCCCTTAGGATACCTGTGGCAAATGGACTGGAGGAATCCTTACTGGATTCACTTGCCTTCCTTCCAGGCCCCAGGCTCCCCTTTATTAGGTTCCAGATCCATAAAACTTGTGCACATCGTGGAACCGGGCAAGGGATCATGGCGTTTTATTGGGAGGACAACTCTCAGGGTCCTGATCATTCATCCTTGATAACTTTTAATTTCAGATTGAATAGCATCCTTGCTTGGTGCCCATTGATTCTGTCCTAGGGATGTTAATCCGTAATAGAGAACAACAGGTGCTTCTGTAGTCTCAGAGGTTTCAGAATAATCTGGGAATTGAAGATGGTTGAGGGCATTGCCCCAAATATCCCCACCCCGTGTATCACTTGGAGTAAATGAACTCCAAGGTCCATTTTCACCCTGAAAGACCTTTCAAGAGTGACTTTTTCATCCATGTCTCTTTCCCTTAAAGGGAAGCAAGAACAGGCTGTGAGAGCAGGCCACAGAGGTTTTAATTGTGGCTCTGGAACTTACTAGCTGTGGGAACTTGAGCAAGCTACTTAATATCTGAGCCTCAGTTTCTTCATCTGTAAAATGGTCATATTACAATATGTCCCCCCAGAGGATGAAATGAGTTAATATGCGCAAAGCATTTATAGTAATACGTGGCATATATTAGGTACTTTCCCCTAAGTATTTGTTGCCCAGGTTCCTTCACTCAACAAGCTCATGCTCATTTTCAGATAAGGGCATTAGTTTCTGCTTCCTCTGTGCCCCCGTGGTGAGCTGCATTTGCCTTTATCACAGCACTCAGCACATTCATTGTGGTGATTTGGCCTGTCTGACTTTCCTGCCTTGCTCTGAACTCTTCCAGGGTGCAAGTGTGCTTTGTTACTGCTCTGCTCCAGACACAGTGCAGCTGTTCAGCAAATGCTCTTGCGGACGAATAAGTGGGCTTGAAGTATAGGAATCAGCCTGCCTTAGGCTGGGACCTCAGGACTAGCCTTTTCTTAGCCAGCTGCAGCTGGCTTCTCCGTCAGGTGTGCACATCTGATCCCTCGGTGACTATTCGCAGGCTGATTCCTCTGGAAACAAATCATCCTCCAGGGACTCACGCGTCACAATTGTTGCTGCTGATGTCCATTTCACCTACTTACCCTGTGTTCTGGCCCCCTGCTTGTTTTGGTTTTTGTGCACTACTCGTTCTTATCTCTTCTCTGGTTTCCGGGTTATTAGTTAGCTTCTAAAAACCAGCACCCCAGATGTGCTCACCTCTGCTTTAATGTCCACAGTTCTTTAGTTTTTGTTTTGCTCTCCAGGTGGTACAATAAAAATCTCTTGTTTCGGTTCTGGTTTCTTGTACTAAGACCCTTGCCTAACTTCCAGCCTCTTATAGCTGAAATACCCTTGACATTTCCCATCTCCAAGCCTGGGTATTTGATTGTTATTGGCTGATCGTCCCTTCTAGAGGAGGGAGGGCACAGTCACTCACAACCACTCCCTATCCTGTGTCCAGGGCGGACAGGGTTAATCAATCACAGCACTCTTTCCTTTAGTGTCCCCACAAGGTTGCAGGGCAAGTGAAAATTGATACTCCCAGTCGCATCCTGTTCACCATCCCTGAATTGGATGACCCTTGCTCATGTGAATTCACTTTACTATTTCCCTTCTGCTTCTTCGTACTTGACCTTTCTCTGCCCATTTGATAGATGAAACCTACCTACCATTCTTCTTAGCTTCTGGTCCCTACCAGACATCTCTGGGGTCTATTGGATTTTAGCTACCAGGTCTACAGAATCTGGCACAGTTATGCCCATTATGGGCCAAACAATCCCTCTGACACGACCATTACTGTACTATACCAAGAAGCAGCTTCTCTGCCTGAGGTTTGAAGGAAGCCCAGAGAAGTCACAGATGTTTTCTGAAATATACCAGTTTCTTTTCTGTGCCTGGTTATAGGATTATCTTTGGGACAGAACCAGTTCAGATTAATTCAAAGTGTTTTCCCGGGAATCACTCAAAATTGGCTTCCCAACTAGGTTCTGTGAAGAGCCTAATTTTTCTGTGCATTCATGTGTCCTACACAAAACAAGTCCTTACTCCACCCCTCTACCCCTTAGGACCATAGTGGTGATGTGGGTCAATGCCATTTTTTTAGCCTGATGCTGGGGGTGGAAGTTCTGGTATGAAAGGTAAAAAGTTTAAGTAGTCTTCCTTCCACATGGTAGTTTGTTCTGTCTCCCCTTTTCTCTTCTGGCTCCTTGTCACCTGGTGCCATCTCTTGCCCTAGAAAGGCCAAGCACAATCAGGTTGGAAGCCTGGGGCAGGATGCTAAACCCCAGAGCCTGGGCTTTCTGGAGAAATTCACTTTTCCTTTGTGCTCTTCCTGAGGTTTGTCTTTTCTTAGCTCTTTGGTTCAGTGCAGGGACGAGATCAATGTGTCACTGTGAGAAGGGGCCCAGAAGGCTGGCCACTCTGCCTTTGGTATTGGCTGCTTACACTGCCTAATCTCGAGAATCTTAAGGGGTCCACCTCAGCTGTAGGGTTCCAAGGAAAGCTATATACTTGATTGAAGAGGTCACAGACTAACTGCCTGGAGGCATCTATAGGCTGTACGATATTTTTAAGAAATAAAATTAGTTGTCTATGCTTAAAACTTGAGGATTTCACTCAGAATTCCATATTTCTGCTTTCTCTTGAGAAATAAGATGTTATGTCAGTGTTGGACCCATATTATCACGGCACACATTGGCAGAAGTCAAGTGATGGCTCCTCCTTTAGATGGTGTCATGGGCTAAATTGTGTCCTCCTGAAATTTATATGTTGAAGTCCTAGCCCCCAGTGCCTCAGAATGTGACTGTATTTGGGGACAGTCTACAAGAGGTAATCAAATTAAAGGAGGTCATAGGGTGGACACTGATCCAATATGGCTGGGATCCTTAGAAGATGAGGAGATGAGGACACAGGCGGACACAGAGGAAAGATTATGAGGACACAGTGAAAAGATGGCCATCCACATGGCAAAGAGGGAAGTGTCAGGAGAAACCAAACATGTCTACTCCATCATCTTACACTTCTAGCATCCAGAACTATGAGAAAACAAATTTCTGTTGTTTAAGGTGCCCAGTCTGTGGTTCTTTGTTATGGCAGGCCTAGTAACGTGAGATAGACAGGAATGATCTCCAGTGGGCCGTGCTTCCCACCACTCCTCTTCCTGGCCCACTTCTGCCATCCCCATCACTTCTTTGACCCCTGACAGCATGTTGTTTGTGATCCAGGCCTCCCAGGAACAGAGAGTGTTTTTTTTTTCCCCCTGGTTGAAGGGAAGGGACCTCCATCTACCCTCACAATCTTACAGAGTGGCAGATTGAGAAATGCTGAATCTTGGCCAAACATGTATACATTTCATCCCAAATAACACTTTTAGGTACTTCGGATTTATTTATATTCAGAGTGACCATGGGTACCATGGGTCAAGTATATTCATCTTGGACTTGCCAGTTCTGGGACTTGTCTGACCAGGGGTTTAAGACACTGAGCTGGTGTGGAGGTAGGTGAGAGTGGCTCTCAGGAGGCAGAGCATGGACTCAAGAAAGATCCAAAAGAAAGCACTGAGGCAACATCTGAAGAGGGGCATGCAGGGGCTACACATGGAAAATTAATCTGAAGCGGCAGGGAAGAGTCTTGGAAACTAGATCTGAAGCAACAGGACATGGAATGGAGACATAGGTCAGAATGGATATGCTCAGGGTGAGGGAGGAAGTGGGGAGAGCTGACCTGAGCTGGGGAAAAAAGCCATCAGGTCATTTGTAGAGTACCTATGGCTTTATCCCTGGGGTGAGTGGGAACTGTTAAAGGTCTAGAAGAGAGCCACATTGCCTTCCATTCAGGGAGGACAAGCAAAGACACTCCTCTTATTTGCCTCTCAGTACAACTTATGTAGCTTGTAGGCCTGTATTTGGGAGTCATAAACCAAACTAAGGCATACAAAGTTCAGAGGACAGACATCCCCACTTACCCTATGAGACCTCACCAATTCACACACACACACAGGCTTAACAGGGAACTGACATGGGTGATAATGCATATAGCTCTCTCCCTCCACCACCCTATCCTATTGTTTTTGTTCCAGAATGTAGTATTCCTATTTTAATCCCTTCTATGTGAGGATAGGGAATTGTTTCCTCCTTCTGAGGTTTCTGTGAGGATAGTTTTGTTTATGTTAATGGAGGAAAAGCAGGGCTTTTGAGTAATAGGTTGAACAAAGGCCAGTCTTTGCCCAAGGTGGAACAGACCCTGCCAATAATGGTCCTCGCCACCTATTTTCTAGATGTATCAGTGCTCATGAAGCAATGCTGGCACCAGGCCTTCATTATTTCAACTGTCCTCTGTGTACGGAGAGAATAAATCATTTTTTCCCTCTCCGTACTATAAATTTATACAAAGACTCATGGCTCCCCTTAATCTCTTTCCTTACAAACCAAACATAATCCTTCCTTCTTATTTGTGTTTTCTTGTAAGACTTATTTTTCAAAAAAAAAAAAAAAATTCTTGTTCTCCTTTTCTTCTGAAACTTCTTTGGTCTACATTGATTTTGAAGTTTGGAACTTGAATATAGTTAGTATCCCCACTGGGTCTGGACTTAGAAAGGCCAAATGGAGAGTAATAAACACATGCGTATTTGACCTTGGAGTGAGTCCCTGCATCCCAGCCCGGCACACCACGGTCGGTTTTGCAGAGGGCCCCCTGTTGACCTCCAGATTAGTTATTACTCATGCTCAGCCAGGCCAACAGTCCCAATTCTCAACTTGCTCCATATTTTTTCATATGGGATTCACTTTGCTTTTTAAAAAATTGAGTCTCATTTTATTGATCTGAGCCCAATCTCTAATTCTGACAGTGTACATGTTTTATTATCCTCTCTCACACAATAGGCCATTATTTTCAGTGCCTTGATACTTTATCATAAGTATTTTGGTCTGACAAGAAACACATCTTTTGAAAATTCACATAATAAAATTCCAAACTACAAAATAAATATGGCTAGGGAATTATAACACAATTGGCACATCTATTTTATAAAAGGAAGCATTCGCTTCATTAAATAAATATTAGCTTGTATTTTAATGCTCCCCCCAAATCCTGTCTTTAGAGTATGTATTAAGTTGGCTAAAGAAAACTTTTCACTAATTTATTCATGCTTTCAGTAATTATTGTGATTCCATATGTGCAAGGACGTGGAGGACATAAGGGAGAGAAGACGGGTCTGCTCCAGCCTTAAGGGGCAGGCTTCTCCTTTCAACTGGCCATGAATGGAAAGAGGGACGGAGTGTATATTCTCTTCTCTTCTTAGACATAATTCTGATTCACGGTACTCAGTAATGGCTTATTCTATAACTGAGCATAGTGGATAATTACTTCCCATAAACCACTCCCCTTCCATCCTCTACCACAAATACACATTACCACCATGTTTGCCTCTGGTCTAATGCGTGGGAACTTCTATTTTGTAATAAGAACAGGAAAAGAAGACAAGATAGATGGAGGAGATGCTGTAATATCTGTCCCCACCCCGCCCAAGGAGCAGGGGCACAGGGATCCATGTCAGGAGCTGGCGGAGTCGTTCAGACTGTGGACATAAACTCAGGTCACAAAGCAGAGCCCAGAGTGGTGAAGGAGAGAGCTTTTCTCCCGGGCACGTCAGGAATCTCACGTTGTTCTGGTGTTCTGAACTGGACATGTTGGGACCATTAGGAGATAATGCCTCTGACACGGGGCATTGGGTTCTCAGAGTAAGGATGACCATTTACAGTGTATGGGAAAGGCTAATTATGGCTAACTTTGCTCCCCTCCTGAGAATTCCTAATAAATGTGGAAATAGGAGTATGACAACTAGCTTAGAGACTTAACGGGCAGTATTTGAGATCAAAGTGAAAGATTCCTAGCTCTAGCTCTGGTGAGCAAGGCAGGTAGGAGTAGGGAGTTGAAAAGGAGGAAAAATAATATCTTAAATTTACATTACATATCAGCATATTGGGTACCTGACATATTTTGTCTTACTTTATCCACACAATAGATATCGTCTTCCTTATTTTCAGATAAGTAAAGGGAGACTAAGAGAGGTTAAATAACTTAACCAAACCAGGATTTGATTATAAGTCTGCTTGGCTCAAATACTGTATCTTTTTCCATGACATCATTGGATTGTTTTTATGAATGAGATTCCTGTGTATATGCTTCTATTGTCATGTCATATGACCTAACCACGTAAACTTAGTTTACTTTGGGAGGGAGGCCTCTCATAATTTTATAATGATAATATGATTCATCATCACTCTCTCCTTATAGAACACTTCCAAGCTGGGGCACCTGGGTGGCTCAGTTGATTGAGCCTCCAACTTCTGCTTAGGTCATGTTGTCACAGTTTGTGAGTTCAAGCCCCACATCGGGCCTGCCAGAGCCTGCTTAGGATCCTCTGTACCCCTCCCTTCACCTCCCCCACTCATACTCTTAAAAATAAACAAACATCAAAAGAAAGAAAGAAAGAAAGAAAGAAAGAAAGAAAGAAAGAAAGAAAGAAAAGAAGACTTCCAAGGAAACAGTGACACAGGATACAATGTTTTAGTATATTTCTCTCCTGTAGTAGAAAAGGCATCCCAGGGCACCCGTCTGGTTCAGTTGGTAGAGCAAACTACTCTTGATCTTGGAGTTGTAAGTTTGAGCCCCATGTTGGATGTAGAGATTAATTAAAAATAAAATCTTAAAAGAAAAAAGTTACCAAATCTGATCTGGGGCAGAATTTTTCTATGTGATAAAAATCTATTACCTCCTTCTGGGGAAAAAAAAAAAAAAGTACTTATGCAATTTTCCACTGAATTTTAGTTGAATGAAGATTTGGTCTAGGCAATTAGTTACCTACTCTGACCTAGCTGACTCTCAGGTGATTGTCAGAAAGGAGTTCACAGGGCCTTAACCAAACATTCTTTTTATTTTGTATCTAACAGTGATATTTTCACTATCCTCTTTTTCTGTAAAATATCTCTTTCTTGGCCTCTTCTATAAATTTTTTCCCTTTGCAAGCAGGAGATTGGTGATATTTTGATACTTGCTCATAAAGAAAAACTTTCAGATAATGTTTATTATCTCTGTTAACTAAATAGTTAACATGTATCGAATTCCTACAACATGGTCCTCAAGGTTCTAACCACATTACAGGAGTTAGTTTGTCTTCATAACAACCTGATAAAGTAGGTACTATTAGCACCTCCATTCCCCAGATGAGAAAACCCAGACAGACCCAAGAAAGTGAAATAATTTACCCGGCTTCTCACAGCTTGCTATATGGTGGAGCTGGGCTATGAATCCTGACAGTCTTCTTCCCCATAATGCTTGAAGTCTACCCTTATTTTGGAAGGTTTGATTACTTTTGCCTTCATGGAACTTTATTGATGTACTGATAGCCTCTATCAGGTTATGCCCTGGCTTTTCAGTTAGAAAGAAAAGAGTCAGAATGTTACCCTTTGCTTATCTGGTTGAAACATGTCCTAATCATTTCTTCTTCTTTGTTCGAACCAAATTCAAATTTTGGCTTTTGCTGGGGCAGATGGAAAGGTTTTGAACTGAGGAGTGACATGGCCTGAGCTGTATGTTAAAAGGCTCACTCCACAGTCTGTAGAAGAGACTATAGAAGGACAAGGGTAGAAGTAGGGAGGACACTTAGGAGATACAGTAATCCGTGTGAGGGGGAAGGGCGTCTGGGACCAAAGTGTGAGAATGAGCTGGAGTCTAGGTGTATTTTGAAGATAAAGTGAAAAGGACTGGTGGGTTGGCCATGGGGTAAGGAGTCAAAGATAGCCTGAGTAAAGGCTGGATCTGTGGACCTGAAGGGGAAGATGGTGCTTCCTCTGGACCATACTCACAAGAATAGGAGCCATCTACTCCAGCTCCTCTCCACAGACCAGAATTTCTACAAGCCTTTGTCTCTACTCTGTTGGAATTTTCCTAAACCCTGAGGGAAATTATTTTATTTTAATTTTTTAATTTTTAATTTTTTAATCCTTTAATTTTATTTTGGGGGGAAGGGGGGGAGAGAGAGAGAGAATCTCAAGCAGGCTCCATACTCCGTGCAGAGCTTGACACGGGGCTCAATCCCACGACCCTGGGATCATGACCTGAGCAGAAATCAAGAGTCAGGTGTTCAACTGAGTCATCCAGGTGCGCCATGCGAATGGCAAGTTTTTGATGGGTCTTGCTAGTCATGGTTCTTTCTTGCTTTTCTCTTTCACCTGCTTCCAGCACTACATATTCTCATAATGCTCAGTTTTGACCTGATTCTTATTTTTGTTTTAATTTCCCTTTCTTAGGTTGTAGTTTCCACATTGTATTAAACATCTTTTGAGGTATCTTCCCAGGCCGTGATTCCCCCGATCTCAGGTGAGGTCCTTGTTTGCCCTGTAATTTCTTATAGACATCCTGTATAATCCTTAACAAAAAAGTAACTACTCCCTAATTTATCAATAGTTTAACCTAGATATTCTTAGGGAGGTTTAGCCTGTCAGTGGGATAAATCTTACTGGTGCTGACAAGAGCATTAATGCCTTCATGTTAGTAATAGAAAAGATAGTAAGAGGGGTGCCTGGGTGGCTTAGTTGGTTAAGCGTCCGACTTTCACTTAGGTCATGATCTCGCGGTTCGTGGGTTCGAGCCCCGCGTCGGGCTCTGTGCTGACTGCCAGCTCAGAGCCTGGAGCCTGTTTCAGAGTCTGTGTCTCCCTCTCTCTCTGACCCTCCCCTGCTCAGCTGTCTCTCTCTCTCTCCTAGAAATAAATAAAAATATTTAAAAAAAAAGAAAAGATAGTAAGAGATACATATATAAATAGGTATCTGTATATAAGTTTACACATATTACGCAGATTTGAGCAGTACCTACTAGTTCACCTTCCTGAGTGTTTGACAAAGTGAGGGAAACCCAGCTGAAACGGACTCACACACAAACATGAATTCTTTGGCTTCCAAAACTGAAGCATCGAGGGCAACCTAGCTTCAGGAATGGCTGGATCCAGGCAGTCACACTACATAATTAGGAATCTGTAGCTCGACGGTTTTCGTCTGTGTTCTCGAGCAGGCTCTCCTGACCTGAGGAGCCCCAGCAGCTCCAGGCTTACATCTCACCGGCTGGAAACTTTGGTGAAAAGAGTCCTAATTTTAGCGATTGGATCTCACTGGGATGACTTGGTTCATTTTCCTAACCAGGCTCTTAGCAGGGAGGATGGTGGGACAGGGTACCATTTGACTGTACAGAATGAGAGTGGAAAGGACATAGTTTTCTGATAAAAAATGATCAGATGAGGGGAGATGGCTGCTAGGCTGTGCATCAAGTGCCCTCTCTAAGATTTAACGTCCGTTCCTGTTCCCTTGGGCTCTATCGTTAGTGGGCAAGTACCTCCCACTGGGGGCTGGGTTACCAGTGCCCACTGAATTCCCAACTCCAGACAGAAAGTGCCTTTTTGAATGTGAAACAATGAGGTTGTTTCTTAAGGAGCTTTAAGAAAAATACTTCCTCCTCCATTCCCCTGCTTGAATTTAATCTTTTATATTTCTATCAGAAATAACTTCTGGTGTTCTTTCATCTGCAAATAAGCACTGATGTTGCCTTCGTCTGCATGTATTATTTATCATTCAATTCATGGTGTGTCTTTGTTGATTGGCCTGTGGGTGTCAGTGCCTGAATTTAAATGAGAATTTATCTGTGTGGTCAAAGAAATCCTTTAGGAAATCATCTCCCAGAAGATGCCCAGAGGGCAGCAACTTGGCCTTGTGCTGGGCTGGGTGCAGGAAGCTGCCATCAGAGCAGCTAGAGCTACAGAGGGCAGGGAGCTCCTCTCAGCTCTAAGAGCACCAGGCCAGCATGAATCTAGAAGATTTGAGTGCATTTTACAGATCGAGCACAGCCTCAGTGCAGCCCCAGCGAAGAATTTCGAGATTACATGATGGCAGTGATACAGAGTGGATGGTGAGCTTGCATCTCACAACTGATGAGAACTCGCTGCCCATTCTCCCACTTTATGGCTTAGAATTTCCCTCAAAAGGAACAACTACAAGGATAAGGAGCTGAGATCCAGTCCGCTAATTCCCTTCTACTCTTAAGTGGTTAGGAGTTTTCAGAGTTTGTTGGTAGAAATTACAGGCACTGGTTGCAAAAAGAAAAAAAAAACCCACCACCACCACCACCAACAAAAAACATTCTCTGTGCATAGTCTGTTAAAAATAATAGAAGCCCGGGGCGCCTGGGTGGCTTAGTCGGTTAAGCGTCCGACTTTTGCTTAGGTCATGATCTCAAGGTTTGTGGGTTTGAGCCCCGCGTCGGGCTCTGTGCTGACTGCCAGCTCAGAGCTTGGAGCCTATTTCGGAGTCTGTGTCTCCCTCTCTTTCTGACCCTCCCCTGCTCACGCTGTCTCTCTCTCTCCTAGAAATAAAAATTAAAAAAAAAAAAAAATAATAGAAGCCCTTCAGTGGGGGAAAAACTATCTCCATGGCAATAGGCGAACTCCTGTCCTGGATAGAAACTGGAGTGACAAACACCTTGGAGACCTTTTGCTCACTCTGTGGACCCTGCGTTTGGTTTTATTTGTCCTGGCGGGGAAACGTCCAAAGTGGCAGCAGTCAAAGGCCTCTGCCCTTGGAGCTGTAGGCTGAACGTGGAGCCGCCCAGACTTTATCTTGATAAATCCCTGAGTGCAGCCCTCTTCTTTTGATGCACCTTTCAAGAGACTTTATTAAAAGATGGGATGCTTTTTAAAAGAATCACAAGCTGGAAATTTTCCTTCAGCGTTGTTGAAAAGACATTTTTAGGCCGATCTCTACAATGGGGTTTCGGTTTCCTTCCCCTCCATCTTCCCTTCCCCAAATATTAACGGAGTGAATGAAATACAGGGCATAGCTGCCACCAAACTGGAGAGGCAAGACTCACACGTGAATAAACACACATGTGTTAGCGCCCGCTAAGCCCCTCCCTATGGCACACACAGCAATTCACACAGGGCGCCATGGCCTAATAAACTGGAGGGAACGTCAAACTACAATAATTCCCTTTGTGAATCTCATTCAAGAAAACATTTCAACATCCAACGAGTCCTTAGAGTATTGTGTATGGAGTGCGCTATTGGACAGGCCGTCCTTATAAACGTGGCCAGAACCTGGGCTGCATGTGAATCATGACCCCAGGGACCCCACTGCCTTTGCTTATCCCCTGTACTTCCTTGCCTCCGCCTGCCTTTCCGGTCTTGCATTCCCACTTGCTAGAGTATCTCTTCAATCCCTAACTTCATGGTGACTTACCTTGGTTCTTGACGGGGAACATCCTCTCCTAAAATT